TTATTTAATGCTGTATTTATTTATTTAATTTTGGCACTTTTTATCCTCCATATAATACTCCGTCGTAGATTGCTACAAAAAGCTGTGATTGAGGTAAAGACTCTAAAGAACCTTCAGGCAAACATCAGTTAAAGGTTTTATGCCTTAAGATCACGTGTCTCATGAACTTGACTGACAAAAGAAGTCAGTTCTTGTTTTAAAAAGTCGCAAAATCTTTCAGCTGTATGATCAATAAACCTCAGGACTTCCATGCCGATAGTGATCGGCATGGCAACGGTGTGCAGGCCAGGCAGCAGTCGGCAGAAGGCTGTCTTTAATAGATGCATAAAGTCCAACTTCATCGCTCAGTCCTCAGCTGGTAAAGGTCAAACACGTGATGATTGTTTCCTCTAAACCAGCCAGTTTGTCAACTTTAGTTCATAAAGTATATATAGGAAATTATGCAAACAGCTGATGCTAAATCTGTCCGCGTAAAAACGCTCTAAAGGCCCTCGTGTTGTTTTTGTTTGGAAATATAGACGCCGTTTTACAAAGCTAAAGGTTTGCAGTTTGAGTCCAGACGATGCTGCAATCACAGTCAGCTTCTCTTCATGTTTTATTCTCTGCAAAATGTAAAAAAAATGATCTGAATGGGGGTTGATCAGCCTACGGCCTCTGAGCCAGACGACTCTTCCCCTCCTCCTGCTCAGCCAGCTTGAAGTGGGTGTAGGACAGGATCCCCGCCAGCGTGCAGAGGATCCCTAATGCCTGAGGGAGACACAGGAAGACCGAAAATCAGCTTCCAGCTGAAAACAAAGGTTTAAATCCACAGAGCAGCACTGAGGGAAAATCAAAAGAACCTGGTTGAAAGAAAGCGGGTCGTTGAAGAGCAGGTATCCTCCAACCAGAGTGATGCAGAACTTGAAATGACCAAACATGTTGTAGCTGATGAAAGGAGTCAAGGTAGCAACAGGGGCGGAGCTAGATGGGGGGCCAGGGGTGGCCATGGCCACCCTTAGCCACTCATTGGCCACCCCTACCATTTTTTTCTCCCCCTAATACAGACATTGGCAGCAGTAATACTATCATGAGGAATGTTTAAACTTATTAAACATTTTAATTTTATATATATTAATAGTTACTTGACAACTAAAATGCTGTGGTTAATTATGCACAGCAAAATACTAACATTAAAGTTTATATATGAAGAATTCATGCTCTTTTAAGGCCCTAAATTTGTGTTATATGGGGTGAAGAGAATCAATGAAATCATAGATAAATAACTACTTTAATAACTTCAAAATCCATTGAATGTAGATATTAGTACATGTCATATTAATGCTATGCAGAACAAGTTTTGATTAAAGTGGGTAAGTAATGACAATAGAAAATATGTTTTCCCCAGACATTTTGTCCATTATACCTTTTAGACAGCATGGACGTTTAAATATATTCATCTATTTGTAATCAAAAGGCTGCAGGAAAGTATAGTTTGTCTTTATTTAGAAAATATGGATGTTGTTCCTGTTGGAAAAAGTGTAGATGGACCATGAGATTCTAGCGCCTATCTGCTTTTGGCCACCCCTCAGTTCACTGACTGGCCACCCCTATTAAAATTTTCTGGCTACGCCTCTGGGTAGCAAGAACTGATGGAAACCTTTTTAGCAATTTAAAATTTAATTCTCATAATTTCTCCAGAGGGAATAAATGGCTGGACGTCTCCCGGTCAGTAAAAGGATACGTTACAGCCGAGGTATTCCCGATGATCCAGTAGATGGAAAGGTTGACGAGGAACGCCACCACACCTGAGAACAGCACCGTCACCTGGTCAGCAAGAGAACAGCACTCTAAAATCACAGACTTTAGGAGGAATATGTAAAAAAAATGTTAAAATTTCCATCTGCTAGATGTTTAGTTTGTTTCATGTCTGACCAGAGCAGGCAGAGACCACGGTCCGAATATCCCACCGTCTCCTGTTAGCGGCTCAAAACACGGGATGATCCCGAGGAGGAACGCCGACGACAGAGGAGCCTGAAACAGAGCCAACATTACAGAGTAAATGAAGCACTATGGATCCCTGAAATACTGGAAATACGACCTACTGTAACCTCTGGATTAGTCCTTTCTAATTCTATCTCAGCCCACCTGCTTTCTACAGTAATAGACTGGGATTACTACGGAAGACGGATGATTTCCGTCTCTCACTTACAGATCTTTATTTCAAAGATCCCGGTTTTTCTCAGAGCTAATGATAGACACTATAACTCAGTTACCATGGCTTTTGGTGGAGAAACAGCATATGGTTGCAGGCACAGAAGTGTTGGTGTTTTTTGAAGCATATGGCGATCAGACCTTAAATTGTTCATTTTTGTACATGACTAAATGGATAGATGCCCATTAAGGTATTTTAAAGTCAAATTTTTGTCCAAAACAAAAGGCGTAAACACAAATCTGACGTCTTGCGCATATGTATTGACTATGGGTATGCTGGTCTGACGGGGTATACTGGTCTGACAGAACACCGGCGGCAGACGGGAGTAGAATGGTGATGAACAATGCTTGTTGAACTAAATGGTGCAGGGTACAAACATAAAGGTTTTGGGCAAATAGAAACTCCACAGATCTTAATGCCAGAATTGATTATGCAAGAATGGAGGATTTGGTCCAGAAGTTGATTAACAGCAAGAATTGAAAGGTAATAAAAAAGAGAGTCAACACTTTGAATATTGACTTCTATGTATGAACTCAATTCTCAATAAAAGA